AGTTTCAGAGGTAGAATTTAGAGATTCATCAGTTGCATGTAACAACCAGTTCTCATTCCATTACATGCCCTCCTTAATGCCCATCACCAGTTGCCCCATCCCATCCACCCAACTCCCCTCCAGCAACCCTCAGTTTGTTTCAAGAGTTAAGAGTCTTTCATGGTTTATCTTCCCCTCTGCTTGCATCTTATGTTATTTTTCCTTCCCTTCTCCTATGTTCATATCTTTTGTTTCATAAATTCAACATATGAGTGAAATCATATGGTATTTGTCTTTCTGACTTTTTTTTTTACTTGGCATAATACCCTCTAGTTCCATCCACATCATTGCAAATGGCAAGATTTCATGGTTTTTGACGGCTGAGTAACATCCCATTGTGTGTATATCACATCCCATTATATATACCATACTTCTTTATCCATTCATCTGTGGATGGACATCTGGGCTCTTTCCATATAAAATTAAAAAATGTTAAGTCAAACCATCATAAGTTGGGGACCATCTGAATATGTATGCTATACTACAGTTTCCAAATATTTTTGACTATATCTCTTTGTATATACATATTTTTAATTTTAGTGGCTGCTGTGGATATTACATAATGTATATGACATAACTCATCACAGTCTTTTGGTATTGACATTTTACCTCTTTGATTGATATGTAAACCTTAGCCCCATTTGGTCCTTTACTTGCCCCAGTTATAATACAATTGTCTTAAATATTTCCTCTACATACATTGAGAACTACATCAATGTTTTGGTTGTTGGTTCCACTGTCAATATAATTTAAACAAACTTGAGAGAAGAAAGATACTGTCCTATATTTACTTGTAATTTTACACTTTGAATTGTTCTTTAATCCTGATATTCCAAGTTGCCTTCTTTGATTATTTCCTTTTTGTTTAATGAAATTCTATTAGCCATTCTTTAAGAGTAGGTTTGCTGGAAACAATTTTTTTTTTCTTTCACTTGAGACTATATTTCACCTTCATTCCTGAAGAATATTTTCAGTGTATAGAATTCTGGGGGTGGGGGTGGGGCGCCTGGGTGGCTCAGATGGTTAAGCATCTGCCTTCAGCTCAGGTCATGATCCCGGGGTCCTGGGATTGAGCCCCACATCAGGCTCCCTGCTCCTTGGGGAGCCTGCTTCTCCCTCTGCCTCTGCCTCTCTCTCTCTCACTGTCTCTCATGAATAAATAAATAAAATCTTTAAAAAAATTAGAATTCTGGATTGGCAGTTTTTTTCTTTTAGCACTTGAAAAATGTGCTACTTCTTTCTGGCCTTCATGGTTTCTCTTACTTTTTGTTTTTTTGGCCTTCATGGTTTCTGATGAATAATCTATTGCCATTCAAACCATAGTTTCCCTATAAGTAACGTGTCATTTCTCTACCTGCTTTCAAGACTTTTTCTTTGTCATTTTTTTCTTTTTCTTTTCGGAAGTTTGATTATGATGTTTTCTGGTGTAGTTTTCTATTTTCTTTCTTTTTCTTTCTTTCTTTCTTTCTTTCTTTCTTTCTTTCTTCTTTCTTTCTTTTTCTTTCTTTCTCTCTCTCTCTCTCTCTCTCTTTGCTTTTATATGTACAACTCTTAAAAACATTTTTATTGCATGTTTTTTCCAGCTTTATTGAGATATAATTGACACATAATATTGTGTAAGTTTAAGGTGTACAACATGTTGATTTGATACATTTAAAAGTTGCAAAATGATTGCCACCATAATATTAGCTACCACTTCCATCTTGTCACATAGTTACCCATTCTTTTTTTGTAATGAAAAGATTTAACATCTATTCTCTTAGCAACATTCAAGTATATGATACAGTATTATTAGCTATAATCACCTGCTTTACATTATATTGCCAAACTTGTTAATCTTATAACTGGAAGTTGTGCCCTTTGACCAGTATCTCCTCATTTTTTTCCACCCTTCCAACTCCTGGTAACCACTAGCTACTCTCTGTTTCTCAGGGTTTGTCTTTTTTAGATTCCAGATACAAGTAACATTATACAGCATTTGTTTTTCTCTGTCTGACTTATTTCACTTATCATAATGCCCTCAAAGTCCAACCAAGTTGTCACAAATGGAAGGAATTCCTTCTTTCTCATGGCTGAATAATATTCATATGGTCTTCTTTATCCATTCATCTATTGATGGGCACTTAGGAATTGTAAGTAATGCTGCCATGAACATGAATGTGCAGACATCTCTGCAAGATCCTGATTTCAATTCCTTGGGATATATACCCAGAAGTGAGATTGCTGGATCCATATGGTAGTCCTATTTTTAATGTTTTGAGGAAACTCCATACTGTTTTCCATAGTGGCTGTACCAATTTGTATTCCCACCAAGAGTGTACTAGGTTTTTTTTTTTTTTCTTCCTCTACATTTTTACCAATATTGTTATCTCTTATCTTCTTGATTATAGCTATCCTGACTGGTGTGAGGTGATATCTCATTGTGGGTTGGTTTCCTTTTCCCTGATGATTAGTGATGTTGAGTACCTTTTCATGTACCTGTTGGCCATCTGTATGTCTGGACAACTGTATATTCTAGCTCCTCTGTCAATGTTTAAATTAAGTTGTTATGTTTTTGCTGTTGAGTTGTAAGTCCTTTTTATAAATTTTAGATATAGGTGGCTAACAACATAAAAAAAAAGAGAGAAAGATAAAAAAATAAATTTTAGATATTAACCCCTTATCAGTTATATGATTTGCAATTATTTTTCCCATACTGTAGGCTACCTTTTCATTTTGTTAATTGTTTCTTTTGCTGTGAGAAGCTCTTTAGTTTGATGTAGTCCCATTTATTTATTTTTGTTTTTGTTGCTTGTGCTTTGTTGCCACATCCAGAAAATTGCTGCTGAGACCAATGTCAAAGAACTTTATCCCTATGCTTTCCTAGGAGCTTTACAGTTTCGGGTCTTAAATTTTAGTCTTTAATTCATTTTAAATTCATTTTTGTGAAGTGATGTATTGGTGTGGTTTTCTTTGGGTTTATCCTGTTTGAGGTTGACTTATCTTCTTAAATCTGTAGATTTATGCCTTTCACCAAATTTAGGTAATTTTGATCTATTATTTCTTCTAATATTTTTTAGTCCCACACTCTCTTCTCCTTTTCGGACTCTGATTACATGAATGATAGCTCTTTGGTAGTCCTACAGGATCTTGAAGCTCTCTCTCCCTCTCTCTTTTTTTTTTTCTTTTCATTTTTTCAGCCTATTTTCTCTGTCAGAGATTGGATAATTTCTATTGACCTATTTTTGAGTTCACTGATTTTTTATTCCGTCATTTCCATTCTGCTATTGAACCTATCCAGTGAATTTTATATTTTTCAATTCTAAAATTTAATTCTATAACTGTTTATTAAATTCTTAGTTCAAAAATTTCCACTGAATTCTTCTTTATATCTTTTATTTCTTTGCCAAGACTTTCTATTTTTTCAAGTGCATTTGTAATTTCTTGTTGAGGCATTTTTATAGTGTCTTTAAATTCTCTGTCAGAAAATCCCTAAATCTGTATCATTTCAGTGTTGGTATTGTGTCTTTTTTCATTCAAACTGAGATTTTCCTGGTTCTTGGTATGATGAGTAATTTTTTATTGTGTGCTAGACTCTTGGAGCATTGTGTTATGAGACTCTGGATCTTATTCAAATCTGCTATTATAGCAGGTCTCTGCTAATGCTGCACCAGTGAAGCAAGTGTGTGTGTAGGGGTGTTATCTCCTCACCACTAGGTCCAGGTAGAAGTCCAATCTGCCAGTTTTCTTTTTCCAGGATGGTTAGCTAAAGTAGGGTGGGTATTGTCAAAAAAATTTCTGCCTTGCTAGGTCATCCTTTTATCTCTTTCTTGGTCCTTTGAATAAAGAAAGCAGGTTTGGGGGGAGCTATTTTTTTTGCCTGCACCTGTTGGCATTTCTCAGTTGCAGACTTTCCAGTGCCCAATCTGAGATAAATAGGAGGCAAAAAAGAAAACCCAAGGAACTTACCACAGTGTCAATCCTTAAGTTCTGAGGACTGTAGCTACTCTGCCTTCTTCTCTCCACTTTTTAGACTCTTTTTTAAAAAAATTAAAATATATATTATGCCTAGATACTTTAGTTATACTTAGCAGGAGCAATAAGGAGAAATGAATCTACTCCATCTGACATAGAACTAAAAATCCTACTTTAACGCAGTAGTTGGCCTATTGGGTCTTTAAAGCTGCTACCTGTTTTGATTCTGTAATTGGAAGAGTCAAGGAGGGATAATTTGTCTTTTTGTCTCCAGCAATGACTGCATAGGGAGAGTACTTTGGTTTTTTGTGTAGCAGATATTTTGCTCTGAGTAAATCAGTAAGTTAACATTTACCTAAAGCTAGTAGAATTAGGATTTGACACAGGGCCTGGAGAGTTCCTGACCAGGCTAATGTTCTACATCTCTTTTGAAAGCTATGCAATTAAAGAGCAACTGTAGTTTCTTCCTATAGTTTCTTCCTGTTAACTGGTGTGCTTCCTGTATTTCCCCATGACCTCTCTGGTACTGGCGTTTATTGTATACACTTATGCTGTATATTCCTAAATTGGGTGAAGCTCCTTTAAGAGAGTAGGAAACAGCTCCTCTACATCCTCCTTTCCTTACAGGTGCCTCCTGAACAGTCTTACACCCTGTAGAGGGTCACAAATCTCTGATACAATTATTCTTTCTCCTGTGAGTCTGGGTAGCATAAGCTAGTCCTCCTTAGGTGCAGCCACCCTGCTTTCAGACCTTGAAGAGTAGGACTAGGAGATATAGCATCTTCCCAGGGCAGACCTGTCTTTAAAAAGCACTGAGCTCAACGAGAAGACCCACAGTGGCTACCCAACCCACCAGGAGCTGTTAATGGAAATCTCTTCCCAGGGTCTTTGTGTTTGGGGCTCACCTCACCATTTTAAGCCATAAACCAGAGAGTTCACATCTTTGTTTATTGGTTGCCAGCCATTCCTTTATGACTTTCGCCTATCCACCCACCCTTCCCCCAATAAATACATTTGTTGATGAATGGAATAGAATGAATGAACTTGGAAGCTACAAAGGTGCCTGGAAACCCAGAAATTCTCATGAATTGCACATTTATTGACTGAGGATGTACCGGGGTTGGGAGGTAGTTGTACAGAAACCAAAAAGGAGAAACTACAGAACAAGATGCAGCCCCAGAGCTCAGTAGCTCGGGTGTTAACACCTGAAGGATTTGGGAACCTCAGGGCAATATCATGAGAGCGTTAAGCCCATTGGCGCCCACGGAGAACACCTCCATCTCTTCTTCTCCGCGGCCTCTAACGGACCTTATTTTCTTGGCCAAGTAGGCGCCTGCTTCTGCTGGGTCTGGTGGCAGATCGGGACGCCCTTGCCACCCCCAGGGTAACAGCCGCCCCCACCACCAATGGAGAAGCATCCCCCGCCGCCCCCGGAGGAGCCGCCGCCGCAGCCGGAGCCCCCGCCGCCGCCGCCGCAGCTGGGGAAGCAGCCCCCGTCGCCCCCGGAGGAGTCGCCGACGCAGCTGCCTCCGCAGGATCCCCCTCCGTAGCTCTGCTGGGGTATGCACGAGGTCTGGATGGTCCGCTGACAGAAGTAGCCAGAGCCGCCGCCGCAGCCGGACCTTCCACTGGAGGAGCCACCGCCGCAGCCGGAGCTGCCGCCGCCCCCGGAGGAACCGCCACCCCCGCAGTCGCCGCTAGAGACGCCTCCGTACCTCTGGCACTGGACCTGCTGACCGGAGTCGCCGCCGCCGCCGCCGCCGCCACCGGAGTAGCAGCCGCCGCAGCCGGAGCCGCCGCGGTCCCCGGAATAGCCACCCCCGCAGCCGGAGCCGCCGCCGCCCCCGGAATAGTCACCCCCGCAGCCGGAGCTGCCGCCGCCTTCGTAGTAGCCACCACCCCCACAGTACTTGACACTCCCACCGGAACCTCCTCCGCAGCCTCCGGAGCCATCACCGCAGCCGGAGCCTCCGCCGCCACCAGAGTAGCCTCCGCAGCCAGAGCTGCTGCCTCCCCCGAAATACTTGACGCTCCCTCCGGAGCCGCCGCCGCCGCAAACGCCGGAGCCGCCGCCGCAGCCCGAGCTGCCGCCGCCGCTGTAGAAGCC